TACCCTGCCAGGAGGTCATACACAAGTTCCATATGTAACACAAACATATCTATATGACACCATAATTGTCTAGGCTTCAGCCTAAAACTAACCCAATCTCAAAAAGAAATGGTTTTACTGTTTTAAGAAGCACTAAGTTTATCCCTGTTTTCTCTGCTTTACTGCAAAGTCATTTTTTGAACTGCAGTGAATTTGCCATTTTTAGGGGTGTAACAAAACAATATGCTGTACTGTATCATAATGAATCACATTACACTGTATCACTCGCATGAGCTAGCATCTAATACTGTGCTTTTAAAATGCTGAATATTATAATAAACCGAAAATGGAATCATTAATGTATCAATCATATGAACCAGAAAAGCTCAGTGAAAAACAGGCCACTCTGGAGCAGTTACGCTGCACGCTACTGTGTTTTCTATCACAGTATAAAAGAAGCACAAGGCTTCCTTTACTGCTGGATACACCGTGTTTTGTACTGATTTGTGATGTGTGCTCATATCACTATTTATGTATCTTTTTCAAAATGGTGGTTTGTAAGAGGCAATGAATAAAAATCTCAGGATTTTCACCTCATTTTCTCCACCTATCGAATGTAGATATAACAGCAGACAAACTTTTGCTGTTCCTAAACAAATTTTATGATATAACATATATAATAGCTCCTTATTAATTCAAAAATACATATTTATAAAAGAATTCTTCTTCGTGTTAACTGACAGAACGGATGAAATCCATGTAATCGCTAAAGGCATCCTGGAGAAACTTCATTCTTCAAAGTAGCTCAGCAGCAAAGATATCAGCTATGTTACTGTGTTACTTTTTAATTATACTTATGTTGATTTTGCTCTGTATTTATGTTGTATATGCATACATATGTTGTATATACATACATATAGACATATAGAAACAAACGTACCACTTATCAAACTTATAGGCGCATATATATGCTGTTGGGACAAAAACCTTGTGTCTCTATTTTTCAGTTTTTAACCCAGTTTGAAAAAGACTGTTGTTTCATGATGAACAGACCAACAGAAATGGTCCGAAATTACTTGAAAAAATATATTTCTCCATTTACTTCCATTAAATGTTATGAATGTTTTTACATGTTTGATTTTTTTCTAAGCAAAACAGACCAAGAAGAAAAAACAACATTTCACTCTAAAATATCCTAACAGTCACGTGATTCATCAGCACCAAGGATGTTAATGCCTCAAATTCATCATGTTGGGTATGTGGAGAGAAGCTTGAGAAGGAGGTTATGAAGAAGTTCAATTCCGTCACCATCTGGAGACAAAACATTCCGAGATAACAGCAAAGCACCTCTCCTCTACTACTGTGGTGTACATTTTTGATTGGAGGGCAGAATGGCTGAAATGACTTTGATTGGCTGCAATACAACACCACCACTCACAGAAAACAAATCAAATGTCATTATCTTAACAAATACTTTTAAAATTCTAAAAAAAAAAAACCCTTAAACTTATACTAAAAGGTATTTCGGCTGTGCTGGTATTCAGTAACCTCACAACAGCAGCTGTGGAAAGAAGACGTGTTGGCAGAGCATGGACAGGTCAATTTACTGCTAATCTACGGATGATGGACCATCTCCCCTTCACCAACTCACAGAGGACTTTTCTTTAAAAAAAAAAAGAAAGAAAGAAAGAAAAAAGAAAGGAGATAGGGAGAGAAGAGAAAGGAAAAAAGCCCCACACCACCTTTGAAAAACGTCGCCTTAATTTCATTTTCCTCCGCAGTCACACACACACACACACACACGCGCAGTGGGTTTTGAAGGTTACGGCTCGTTTTTCCCGCATTAACGTTTTAACGTGAATATTTTTGCCGCCGCTTTAATTCAAGGACGTCTCTCTCTCCCTTTCAGGCCGAGCTGCTGTCTTTTAGATATTTCATTACCGAGAGGTATTCATTACTTTTCCCGCCAAATCCCTTGTCATAGCGCAGCAGCGTCTGCCGTTACACTATTTCTCTCCTCCTCTGTCTTTTTCCTCATCCCTCATTTAAGAGCAGAACGGTGCTGCGTGCTGGATTTGGGCTGGACGTCTCGTTGGCCTTTTTTATTTTAAGTTTGCCTGCAGGCGTCAGACGTCCCACAGCGGCGTGATCAGCAGAGCGAGAACCTTCACCCTTTGCGCGCTCTCTCTCTCTCTCTCTCTGACCTGACAGCTTGAGCCCTGTACACTCCTCCTGCTCTGTCATGGCTTCCCTTCCTTAGTTTGTGACTAAAAATCATGTAAAATAATGTTTTCTACTCTTATTTTGATCTTTTTCTCCTGCGTATTTTCACTGTTGTAAGAAAAGCTTAAATTTAACAATATTAACACTTTACAGTAACTTTGTCAGCATCATCACAATCATGTTCATTTGTAAAAACGTGACTTGCAACCTTCATGCCAATTAAGCTCTGCTGAGAAAGAAAGAAAGAAAAAAGAAAGAAAGAAAGAAGAAAACAAGAAAAGGAGAGAGGAAAAAAGAACAAGAAAAAGAGAAAAAAGGAGACAAGAGAATGGGAGAAAGATGAAAAGAAAACAACAGAGAAAAATAAAAACCATCAAAAACTAAAAAAAAAATAAAGATGACGAAAGCGTAAGAAAGTAAGAAAACGAGAGAGAGAATGACAACAGGAGAGAGAGAGAAAGATAGAAAGAACAAGAGAAAGAAAAATGGAGACAGAGAAAGCATGAACGACAGAGAACAAGAGAATGAGAGAATCAAAGAGAAAAAGAGATAAAAGAGAGGATGAGACAGAAAGAAAGAAAGAAAAAGAAAGAAAGAAAGAAAGAAGAAAGAAAAAGAAATAGAAAAGTGAAATACAGTGAAATAGATAGCGAAAAAAGAGAGAATGAGAACAGGAGAGAGAAAAAAGAAAAAGAGCAGCAGAAAGAGAAGAAAGGACACAGACATGCAGAAAGAAAGAGTGACGAAAGATCAACAGAGAACAAGAGGGAGAACAAGAACAGAAAGAATGAATGAACAAAAGAGAGCAAAGGAGAGAGACAGGAACAGAAAAAGGAAGTGAGAGAGTGAGAAAGAAAGAAAGAAAGAAAGAAAGAAAGAAAGAAAGAAAGAAAGAAAAAGAAATTACAAACGAAAGAGATGACAAGTGCACGAAAAAGAAGGAAACGTTGAAGTGAAAGAAAGAGAGAACGAGAACGGGAGAGAAAGACAGAAAGAAGGAAAAAGAAATTGAGACAAGAGGGATAGAGAAAGAGTGAACGATAGAGAAAGAGAGAATGAGAGAACCAATGAGAGAAAGAATAGAGGATGTGAGAGAAAGAGAACAAGAACGGGAATCAAACAAAAAAAAAGAGGATTGAGATAAAAGGAGACAGAGGGACAAAGAATGAGAACAAGAGATCAAGAGAGAGAAAGAGCGAGAGAGAGCAAGAATGAGACTGAATGAAAGAGCAGAGAGAGAGAGAGAGAAAGGGAGAGAATGAACAAGCAACAGAGAGAGCTGGAGATAGAGAGTGAGAGAAGGAGAGAGACAGTGTGTGAGCAAGAGCACAAGAGAGAGAAAGAAAAAGAATAAGAGTTGAAGAGAGAAAGAGAGCAAATGAGAACGGGAGAGAGAGAAAGACAAAGAACAAGAGAGAGAGAAAAGGAGACAGAGATAGAGAAAGAGAGAAAGAGATAAAAAGAGAGGATGAGAGAAAAAGAACAAGAACGGGGGTCAAAGAAAGAAAGAAGAATGAGAGAAAAGGAGACAGACAGATAATGAACAAGAGAACAAGAATGAGTGAGTGAAAGAGAATAAGAGAGAGAAACAAAAAGAGAAAGGGAGAGAGAATGAACAAGCAACAGAGAGAGCTGGATGGAGAGACAGGGAGACAGAGAGAGCGTTTCTGTGAGAGAGAGAGAGAGAGTAATGAATTAGGATGTGTGTGTAATCAGTGCTGCGGTGCTCTCTCTCTGTCTCTCTCTGTCTCTCTCTCTATCAGTCCGATGAAGATGAGCTGAATCTGCATCTCCTCTTATACTCTGTGTCTGTCTGATCTGAGAGAAGTGCCGTTTCATCAGCTCCTGGGACACACAGGCCCCTCCAAACCCCTCTCACAGCACAGAAAACTCCACTGTGTCTCTCTCTCTCCATTTAAGGCACTCTGTGCTCGTGGTCACTCTGAGGTCAGTCACCCTGCTCCATATGGACAGACTTCACTGCTCTCCAACACCACGGCATGTGTTAGTGCATGTGAAAGAGTGACTGAACATGTTAAACAGATGAGGCCTAGACTATAGACCACCTCAGATCTGTATGAAGTGGAATTCCACCAACTTTCCAAATTCTCTGCATGATTAAATGGTTAAGATGTTGACAGAGTCATTCTGTTTTAGATAAAAAAACTCATGTCAGAATTACAGTGGTGGTGATAGGAACCAGACGTCTGAAGAGCTAAATGCCTCTAAAAGCTGTAGCTAATACATACAACCACATGTAACAGCTACCACAACCCAGATCTATAACTACTAGGGCAGTAACAGCCCTCGTAACTAGTAGTTTAACCCTCTATTGCATGAATTATTATGATAAAAATGTTTTAATGTGTTTTTTGTTATTTAAAATGATTTGGTATTAAAATTTTGTTATTTAAAATGACTTAAATAATATATATATTTACAAATATTGTAAAGTAATCAAATTTCAATTGGTATTTGGAATGTATGGTATTAATAACAACATTATAATAAGATTTCCTACTAGAGTAACTTCTAGAATTGCGATAAAGTACTTGTTGCCATATGACAACACCATGCAAGAGAGGGTTAAGCTTGTATCCATTTTTAGAGAGAGCAGCTTTTAAAAGGGAAATGTTTAAATTTAGCTTATCAGGAGACATGCTGTTGAACATATGATTAACATATGATATGATTAATCTGAAATTATATCGAACATCAACTGTAAAATCAGTACAGGTGACGAGATCTTCCCCTCACCTGCGCCTCAATACTGCATCAGTAACTTATGGAACACTTACGTCGATAATTTGTGGTGGGCGTGTGGGTGAGGTGGCGTTGGGGACGGTTTTGTTTTTGGCCTTCAGCGCGGCGTCCCTGCGAGCCTGTTCCAGCAGCAACCGCGCCCTCTCCTTCAGCTCCTCCTGACGAGACTGCACCTTCTGACCACAGGAGACAAACGGAGGAGAACGGTCAAAATGGATTAACAGCAGGAACCAGACTAACTGACCCTAGCCATAAAGAGCAGAAGTGGGTTTCAACACTGTGTATGTTCCAGTCTCAGTGACCCAGAGCTCACAAGAGGACAAGCTGTTATCTATAAAAATGAACAAAACTGTGTCGTATGGCTAAAAGCAGCAGCAAGCAGGTTGAATCCTGAATTCTGTCTGTATTTTGTCCACTTGTATCAGTAAAATATACCACTGTATATCATAGTGTCAGAAATGAAAAGCAAGGAGAGCTTGAGACTCTTGATTTATGATTAATTACCAATAATGACCATGACATCAGCAAAAAGACTTTGGCCCAATCCCATATCCCCCTTAACCCCTACCTTTTAGCCCTACCCCTCTGTTTTGCGTGTTCACATCTAGGGATAGGGTGAAGTGTTAGGGCTACGTGGCCCTCCAAACAGAGGTTTATGAGAGTTATGAGAAAAAAGAAAAACTAGCAAGATGGCTGCACGGGGGACCAAAGAAACCCACAAATGTGAGAATTTTCTCCTTTAAAAAATTACTATAAATCATTGTATTATCTTAGAATAACGTAATTTTAATGTATTATGGTCCTTTTCTTCATAACTACCATAAAAAAATTGCTAAAAGTATGCTAATGTCTCAGCTAGCTAGCTAGCTAAATTTCCCATTCCACTTTAAAAGGTCCAGCAGTTCTGATGCCTGAAGTGCCAGAACATAACCACTGCACCATTTAAGGTGAAATGGGAAAATTTGAAAAAGAAACTGGTGAATAGCTGACTTCAGCTTCATATCACTGAAGAATTATGGGTGAGTGATAATAGGTAACTGTCCCTCTTTGAAGGCAAATGATGCCCTAAATGTAACTAAAGCTCAGCAGTGAGGCTGGCAGTGTCGCCTACAGAGCAGCGCTAGTGGCTGTTAATGAAGTAACGTTCTTTTTATTTGAGTGCTGTTCTATTTCGTAGAGAAGATTTCAACCACTACCCCTGTATGCTCTGCAAAGCGTTCTGCATTTCGATGTGTGATCTGAAACTGCTACACTGGAAACACATCACAAACAGTATTTTTATTCTTATTTACAGTTTGAAAGCTTCTCTTTTTCACACAGCCATTGTCCAAGCCCTCTTTTTGTCCCTTAGAATTACAAAGGCTGTTTTTGTAACTGTGCCTTCAAGACTGATACGTAAATGAGCTTGGTTCTGATTGGCTGTCCTGCACTGCACCTCATTCAAAAAGCAGTGTGAATTCAGTGTGAATGAGCTGGGCTAAACTGCCTCAGGCCAAACAGACAGATATATGTAAACGTGATGGTTTGTGTGACGTCACAAAACCGGTGAATCCAAAACAGGCTGTTTTTGCAGCTTAGTTTTCGTTTATGGACTGAACGGTATGTTTTGAAACTGTAACCGTGTTTACATCCTGCATTAAACTTTTTTATTTAATAAAATGGATGAAAAAGATACAAATTCAGACACCAAACGTCTTGGCCGCTTGTCAATATTTGGGTGGAAGGACAAACTGTAAACATCTAAGAGACCGTCTACATAAATTTGTCTGAAAAAAAACTAGGTGATCTCTTTTCACTTTAAACTTTAAAGAGTTTTTTTTATATATCGCTGCTGTTGGAACAAAACCTTGTATCTTCATTTTCAGTTTTTGGCATGAATTAAAAATGCCTGTTGCTCTTTACATTGTGTGTAGAGTTCATGATGAATGGACCAAAAGAAACGGCTCAAAATGACTTGGCAAAACATCTGATTCCATTGACTTACATTAGCTGTGTTTACACGCAAAGATTTCCGCCAATCCAATTGAATACATTCCGATTATAGATTAAGACTGAGGTGTTTATATCACATTCTCCTCAACAAAATGATGGAAATTTTTCATTTACATGTTCACTACAATTAATCAGATCCAAAATTACACAAACGCATAGAGAACCACTTAGTGTAGACGTTACCATGAGTCCAGAGTGAGAAGAGCAGCAGTGAGCAGCGCTTGTGTTTTTACTTACTTTAAAATGATGTCAGACTCAGGAAAATGTCCTTCACATATACTTATTAAAGAAGGCCGAGAGGAAGACGTCGTGTTCTGAGACACATAAGCTGGACGTCCGTCCCACCGCCGTCTTTTAAAGATCAGAGCATAAACTTCGTCTCCTCTGCAGACCAGTTTCTGCTCCGCCATGTTGAATGTTATAAACTTCACTATGACGCGACACACATGATCAGAACGCGCTTAAACTTTCAGATTGGGAATGTAATCAGATACAGGCGTTTACATGGTTATTATTCTTCTATTTAACAGATTATTTACAGGATCACCCACCTCGTTCAGTCGGATAGAAATTGTATTTCGCATGGCCTCAATCAGACAAGCCTATTCTGAGTGAGGTGTGTACATGGACTTATTCCATTCCAATTGAGCCATCAGTCGGATTGTTAACGGATTATTAGGCTGTGTGTAAACGTGTGTAAAAGTATATTTTTCCGTTGTCCTGTAAAGTTACCATTTTGAAGATACAAGGTTTTGTTCAGCAGCAATATATATATATATATATATATATATTATATATATAATTCCAGTGTAATATGATGTGCATCTCACCTTCTCCTCGTTGGTGCTGGACGCAGGTACAGGTGCTACATCCTGAAAAATAAACAAAACCAAAACAAACACTTTAAAACCGAAATAACACAAAAACAGAGGAAAGGAACTCGTTTTGGAATCCATCTGTTCGGGGATGGTTATCAGTGCGGAGTTCTGACGTGTGGTTAGTGTGCTGGGAGAGCAGCTGATTGGCTGAGGCTTTGCGTCCTGTCAGCTCAGCGCAGATAAACGCGCCTCTCGCACATGACTGACACACCATCAGCGGGAATAACACAGGTAATCTTGCGCAGGAGAATGCAAACACATACACACGCAAACGCTCACATACACACTCCTCTGTGTCTGCCGCAGCCAGTAAGCACAAAGCAATAGAACCTAAAAAATAAAGGCTGCCAAACGCCGCCAATCAAACACAACCCCAGGCCTTAATGACATGTCAGCGAATTCAAAACAAAATTACGGCCCATCTAAACAGGATACATTCACGCAGAGCGCCTGACAAGAAGGACAAGGAAGACGAGGTTAGACTCGAGTGTGTGTATGCCTGTGTGTTTGTTTTTGTGTATTTGCAGGAGAAAAAAATTGTCCTGACTGTAGCAAATTCACTTTTAGCATCCTGAGGTTTCTCTTGATCAACCAAAACAAATTTGGTGTCTGAAGTCTGCCTCTTTAGTTTTGGAGCTATGAGGTTAATGTAGCTAACAACTAATGAATGTTAATAGCCACTAGGCTGCGGTTAGCGGGACACCTTATTACATATAAAACACATAAGGAACATAACATGCAGTTACTTCAAATAAGACAACCCTACTGGTCAAGAAGAGCTTTATGCTGTTATTTATGACAACAGCATGTTTTTTTTTTCCCCCCACAACAATTGTATCATTCTGCTGAGCACTGGCTGCTAAATAATGACTCACTTCACTTTGCAGCGAACAGTTTTGACATCACACACACATACGGAAAACATATACATTGTTATAATTATTATTATATTATTATTTGTTTCTACAATATTTAACCTGCAGCCACTTTATGGCCAGATTCTGTAGAAGAGAGTGTCCGCAGGACTGCATCACATTCTGAAGTGAGCTTTTAGGTCGGCAGCAAACTACAATCAGCCAGAAACGTACAAAATACAACTCAGCAAACAAGATGGACTGAAATGCTGACTGACTGGACCAAAACACAGAGCGTCATCTGAGAAATACTGAAAAAGCTGATTTCCACTTGATTATAATTTTATGGCTCCATCCATAACGCAAAAGTGTACTAGCTTTTTGGTGAAGCCAATGTTTAAGCAAACTACATACAAACTTGAGGCATCTTTGCTTTACTATAACAGCAACAGAAAGCCGTGTCTTATCGGTAACAGCACCATGGCTGTGATCGTCAACTGCACTAACCTTCGCCTTGTGCCTGCAACAGAATCACAGCTGTGACGTTAATATGAAATAACACACTTCCTCTTGTGTTCTACTGATTAATTATTGCATATGGTAACTGCATTTACACCACTCCAGTTGATGCTTGGCACTGCGCATAGTGCTCTTAGGTTTATGTGCAGCTGCTCAGCCACAGAAACCCATTTCATAAAGCTCTCAACACACAGATCTTGTGCTGATGTTGCTTCCAGAGGCAGTTTGGACCTCGGCAGCACTCGGCCCTACTCTGTGAGTCTGTGTGGTCAAATGCTTCAAGGTTGAGCTGTTGTTGCTCCTAGACGCTTCCATTTAACAAATACACTTAGCACTTACTGTTGACCAGGGCAGCTCCAACAGGTCAGAAATTTCACAAACTGACTGGCATCCTATGATAGTGCTATGTTTAAAGTCACTGAGCTCTTCAGTATGACCCATTCTACTGCCAGTGTTTGTCTATGGAGACTGCAAGGCTATGTGCTTGATTTTATACACCTGTTAGCAATAAGTGTAGCTGAAACACTCAACCTCAATAATTAAGAGTGGTGTCTACGCACTTTTGGCCATATAGTGTATACAAATACATACGGGACACATATATAGATACTTATATATAGAAATTATACATCTAAGCAATATTACATATATGTATACACACTCAAGTACAACCCCACATCCAGACAAGGTCAAGTGTGTGCGCACATACGAATATGGGTACAGGAAAAGTGCATGTGCGCTGGTGAGGTGAGGGTGAAAGAGTGAGTGAGTGTGCATGAGTATGTGAGGAAGAAAATGTGTAATTGTGTTTGTGTGTGTGTGAGAGAGAGAGATAAATAAGGCGAGTGTGAGGCGGAGAGGTGTAGAGATGAGGGCAGGCACTGAAGCGTATCGAGCTTCAGGCAGCAGGAATATTGCAGTCAGGCAGCGCTGCATAATCACACGTCAGAGTGACTGACCAATCTCCATTCAGCACACAAACACCAATAACAAACCAATAACACATAAACTATCAGCCGCAAACCACAGACAGGGCAACAGGCAGGCCAGCTTTACAGGGGGGTGGGGGTGGGAGGGGGGCGTAATGCTGGAGTAGGGGTCGAGAAAAGACATGTTTTAAAGTAGGCTTTAGCAGATCAATGATATCAAATATTGCAGTAAGTGCAATATTTTGCAAATTATTGTCACTTTCGTCTTTTTTGCTTTGCCTTTTTAAAACCATTGCCTTTCTACAATCGTTCTACTATACGGTTTGTTCAAAAACACATACAATAGAAAAGATAATTAATTATAAACCATACAAATAAAACATCAACTAATTAACTACACACACATAAAAACTCTGAACCTCATTTGGAAAGATAATAATGCAGATTTTCGACCTTAGTAAGTTTCACCACAATACCTACGCGACAAATAATTAATAAAATAATAATTAATAATAATAATAATTAAAGTCAGAGGCTTGGATGAAGGAAAACACTAATCTCAGAGCTGTGGCCTGAAAGGAACCGAGTTTGATGTCTGCTATAGCGTAACACTGTAATGCTCACATGTGGTACTTCCTAACTGAATTGGCATCACAATATCATTTATAATGATAATTCAGCAGCTGTTCCATGCGTCTATTTATGTATTTGTGGTGTGTGTGCATTTACCTGCGCGTGTTTGACAGGTGCGTCTCTATGGTTGGTCTGCAGTGGGCTGCTGTCGGCCTTTGTCTCTAGCTCAGCATTTCTGATGCTACTTCTCTTCTTCTTGCTCAGGTCAGCGTCTCGACTATAGCTGAAACCCAGTTTCTGTGTGTGCGGAGGGGAGGTCCCGGGTTCTGAACCCCCACCATCGGCCTTGAGTGGTCGCAGGGAACCTGGGCGCTTCGGCTGGATATCTAGAACTTTGGCTGGAGGCGCCCCATCCCTCTCTTTCTCTCTCTCCATTAGGCCAGGTGAGTCAGTCATGTCCGTCGCGCCAGCTTTTTCAGTCTCCGAAGCAACAGGTCGGGCAGACGATGAATCTGGGCTTATTTTGGTGCGGGGGGCAGGTTTGGGGTACGAATCAGTCGCTGTTGTCGTGACAACAGAGGCGGGGCTGGAGGTTGCTGAAGTTAGGCCTACTTCTGTTAGACTCATCCCCACAGACGCACCTGTGACTGACGCTACCTCTAGCTCCACCCCCTCTCCATTAGCGGCCATGCCATCAGGCTGTTTAAGACTTTCATTTCGGTGCAGGTCGCTGTTTAGCTCGGCATAAAACTTGTCCTGGTCGATGGAACTGTTGGTGTCTGTCTCAAAGTCTCCCACCTTGTAGGTGCTGCGGCCGCTGTTGGCCTCGATTTGGACCACGTTGAGTTCCTCACCACTGAAGTGCGCACGGATCTGGTAGAGGTACGTCATGACCGTCAGCTTGTCCGGGATGGCCAACAGCACCATGTCCGCTGGCTCCAACAGACGAGAGATGCCTAGACTTGCAAAGCCATCATATGCCTAGACACAAAAAAAGAACAAGCATAAGACCAGAAATCTTAAGTATACATACAGGACAAGTAAACAGTGTTAGGTATAATGAAGTGGAGGATGAAGGACAGAATTTGTGAGGTGTGGTGGAGAGAACACCCAAGGGCACAAGGGGAGTGTAATGGGTTGGGCAAAAAGAGAATATAAGAGGAATAAATAGCAGGTGTAGGGGCACAATGGATTAAAAGTGTGAATAGACTAGTGTACAGTGCGTAGGGCACAAAGAGTAAATAATATGTATAGGGAACAGTGAGTGTGGATTGCAGGCCACATAAAGTAAATAGTGTGTATAGACTAGAGTGAGTGTAGAGTGAGTGTAGAGTGTAGGGCACAGGAAATAGGGTGTGTATAGTTATAATAAGTGTAGGGTGTAGGGTACAGGAGGTAAATACTGTGTATAGGGAATAGTGAGCATATTGTGTAGCAGTCTACAGTGAGTGTAGGGTGTAGAGCACAGGGGGCAAGTAGTCCGCTTAGCAAATGGTAAATATAGGGTGTAGGAGTACAAGGCATGGTAATGTAGGGTGCAGGGGATAAATAATCTGTACATGGCACGGTGAGAGTTAGGAAGCAGGGTGTAGGGGGTAAATAATCTGTATAGGGGTAAATAGTCCATATAGAGAACGGTGAGGTTAGGGTATAGGGGGTAAATAGTCCATATAGAAAACAGTTAGTGTAGAGTACAGGGTACAGGGGGTAAACAGTCTATACAGAGAACAGTGAGTTTAGGGTATAGGGTACAGGGGTAAACTCTGTATAGAGACGTGAGTAGGGGTGGGTACAGGGGGTAAACAGTCTGTATAGAGAACAGTGAGTTTAGGGTATAGGGTACAGGGGGTAAACAGTCTATACAGAGAACAGTGAGTTTAGGGTATAGGGTACAGGGGGTAAACAGTCTGTATAGAGAACGGTGAGTGTAGGGTATAGGGTACAGGGGGTAAACAGTCTGTATAGAGAACAGTGAGTTTAGGGTATAGGGTACAGGGGGTAAACAGTCTGTATAGAGAACAGTGAGTTTAGGGTATAGGGTACAGGGGGTAAACAGTCTGTATAGAGAACAGTGAGTTTAGGGTATAGGGTACAGGGGGTAAACAGTCTGTATAGAGAACAGTGAGTTTAGGGTATAGGGTACAGGGGGTAAACAGTCTGTATAGAGAACAGTGGTTTAGGGGTATAGGGTACAGGGGGTAAACAGTCTGTATAGAGAACGGTGAGTTTAGGGTGTAGTGTACAGGGGGTAAACAGTCTGTATAGAGAACAGTGAGTTTAGGGTATAGGGTACAGGGGGTAAACAGTCTGTATAGAGAACAGTGAGTTTGGGTATAGGGTACAGGGGGTAAACAGCTGTATAGAGAACAGTGAGTTTAGGGTATAGGACAGGGTAAAAGCTGTATAGAGAACAGTGAGTTTAGGGTATAGGGTACAGGGGGTGAATAGTCTGTATAGAGAACAGTGAGTTTAGGGTATAGGGTACAGGGGGTAAACAGTCTGTATAGAGAATAGTGAGTTTAGGGTATAGGGTACAGGGGGTAAACAGTCTGTATAGAGAATAGTGAGTTTAGGGTATAGGGTACAGGGGGTAAACAGTCTGTATAGAGAATAGTGATTGTAGGGTGTGGGGCGCAGCTGCACTCAGGCATGACTAGATTTGGAATTAGACAAGCAGGGATCGGTGGGCGGCGGCAGGCGGAGACAGGTAATGTCAAGGATGGTTCTCCCTGATAAGAGCTCGATATGAAGAAACACTAAACTAATCCCTCCTCAGTCTTATCACCCACACACATCTCTCTCTCTCTCTGTGCTTCTCTTACTCTGTCTCTCTCTCTCTCTCTATGCACACGCACCTCCCTCTTTCTCCCCCTTCTCTCTCTGTCTGTCTATCAAGTGTAATTGCACTGATTTGTCCTGATGTGAAATACAGGTAGATAATCAAATGGGTAGAAAAAAAAAAAACTAACACAATCCCTGATCAGATGAGAGAGAAAGAAAGAGACATGGAGGAAGTGAGGGATATGGCTAAACCGTAAGACATAAGACGTTATCAGAATGATAAAGGAAGGTGTAAATTGCTTTCGTCTAATTCATTCTGATACATTTTGGGAGAGAAAACACCTTTAAATTGTTTGCTTTTGATACCACTGCCCACCCCCCGGCCCCTTCTATCAGGTTTTGTATCAGCTCTGGTAATTCCAGACTGACCAGAGATGGGCATTGTCTCCACATCTCTACACTGGTTTATCAGGCTTCTCTCTCTATTGGCATGAGGGACAATCAAAAATAAGCTCTTTCTCAATTTACAATTAATTACAACTTTAGTCCTGTTCTCAGCTTTTCTTGAGTTTCTCCACCCCCTAGGTGTAGGTCCTGTTGCAGAGGGTTGAAGGAAAGAAAGAAAAAGAAAAAGGGGGGAAAGGGAAAGTGCTGTTTAGGTTTCCCTTGCTTTGAATGAAGAGAGGGGGAGAGAAAGAGAGAAAGAAGTGAGTGAGAGTGAGAAAGAAAAGATATGATTGGGTTTCTAACACTCATTCACACAGTGCTGGAGTGTGCTGCCATTGTTCTCCTCTTACAGAATGTTCCTCTGCACACAGAGTGACAAGCACATCTCACAAAAGAGAAGAAAGAAAGAGAGGGAGAGTATAGTGGGGGGGTGTCTCATGTTGCTCCAGATTCATCTGAGCTTACTCCGGTGGGGAGGAGGATCCAGGGTCCCCAACTTTCCTCTATAGATTGAGAACCAGAATTTCAAAAAAGACCAGCAATGGGATGACAGATAAACTGGCTAGGGAATGAGAGAGCGAAGGAAATAGAGGGGAAGACACAGAAAGACAGATTCATTCTGGTGTGTGTTTGGAAGGTCAAGTCACTGTTAAGAGCTCTGATTGTTGCGACGCCATTAAAAATTCAGATTGTGAAAATTCAGGCAGGAATAGTTTTTTTAAGGGCCAAATAATAATATGCAAAAAAAAACAAAACAAAACAAAAAAAAACTTATCAACACAGCTCAGGTCAGCTCTGTGACTTAAATATCTCTGCCTTCCATCATGCTTGATTCTTTTAATACAAAAGTCTTTGACATATCCACTTTTATTAACAAGATTTGGGAGTTGAATTTGGTGAAGGGTGGTTCTTTACATGCTGTCATGTCAGCTGCACTGAATTTAATTTTAAGATCTTTGAATGCTTTCTCGGCTGTTTTTTTGCATGCATGAGACACTGCACGAGCTAAGGGAGTTTCGGTAGGAGCACTGTAGAGAAGATGTACATACACTAAACAAAAAGTTATATATTTGTGACACAAGTCCTTTCAGGCCACGGTGACCATCCAGAAGCTCCTCTATCTCAGTCAGCTCTATTCTCAGTTTCCCCACATCTTGGAAGGATTTGAGAAAATGTCAAATTTGCAAGCATTTAAAAAAATTCTGATTTTAAAAAGACCAAACAGCTCTTGGATCTGTAAGAAAGATTTCAAAATGTTGCCTGGAAATAAATGAGATATTTTGACAATTCCAGAATAACTCCATCTAGACAGTCCTATGTTCAACCACTGATGGGGAAGGTCAGGATTATAAGCAATTGGAAATAACAATGGTATAACAATTTTAAGATGCGACTTAAAATCTCTCCAGGCTAGGCGTGTGTTAGAGACCACAATGCTCTCTAAGAGGTGCCGTAGCCTGCAGAAATTATAAATAAATGGCCAGAACTTAATTGGACTTTTTACTTTTAACAACAAAATCTTATTGTGCAGCTTTAAACCTCATGGGTTGGTTTTCTGGACAGTGTGGCCAAGCATTTTGCATAGTCCAGCACTGGGCTTAATGTGTGTGTGGGAAACTGACCCGCTGTTGCTTTGTTGTACTACTTTAATGTAATTGCATAATGTTAAGAGTGACTGTCTGACTGTGATTTAACTGTTAAAGGTTCCAACTGTGATGTACCTTATAAGAGTCCTGGCTGTGATGTAACAATGATGTCTATTCATCTCTAATAACAGATTATTACATCACAGAAACACTGTGTTTCTCAGACTTACAGCATCTCTGTAAACTAACTCTGATGTAAAATGAATTACAGTTACAAATATAAGCATCTATAAGTTGTAATCTTCAGGAATGCTCTATATATTCAGCATGAACAAAAAAGGGCTTTTCAAACGTGTGACTGTATCTTTAAAAGCCGAAAGGCTCTCAGCCCCTCCCTCTCCTGTGTAAGACTTTCTCCCTTTCTCCTGCAACAGCAATCTATTCACTGCACAGAACAAGCCCAGGTGCTGAAAAGCGCTTTGTTTAGTGAATGACATCGTTGAATGACTGACAGGTATCCATCGCTGTCAATCGCACACATGTCCAGAGGCTTTTCTGTCCTTCCGCAAAGTTACCGAGAAATGCAGCAAAACACGCACGCACACGCAGATCAGGTATCATGGGAAATTAGTCGAACTCTCTCTCTCATTACCCAAAACACAGATGGGAATGAATATACGCCCTTATACCCAAACCTCTCTCTCTCTCTCTCTGCTCTGTTATTGATTGTTCTTATCTGTCATATTTCAATGGAGATTATTGCCTGAGCCAGGGGTTGGGGGTAGGGGGGTGGGGTTATTGTATCAAATGTAAATGAATGTGTGTGAGTGGGAGCACAAGAGAAAGAGAGAGAGTGATATATATATATATATATATATATATATATATATATATATATATATATACATATAGATACATAGAGAGAGAGAGAGCGAGAGAGAGATAGAGAGAGAGAATGGGGTCCTTAACCTCTGTTGCCACGGTGGCAGTCACCTGTGACACCATCCTTAACCAAGTTTATCAACCACACACCCACACACCCACACTCGCAGCGCCCCGTCATTCAAAGCAGGAATTAATGGCTTAATTGGGTGGGAGGCCGAAGATTGGCACCTGTTTCTGCAGCCCCCTCAACCCTCCCTCTCTCAGCGCTAGCTATTGTTAACACCATAGCATTCATTCCACAGCAAGGCCACAGGGGTTATCAGTCAGAGAGAGAGAGAGAGAGAGAGAGAGAGAGAGAGAGAGAGAGAGAGAGAGAGAGAGAGAGTGTGTGTGTGTGTGGTGTGTGTGTGTGGTGTGTGTGTGTGTGTGTGTGTTGGGGGTGGGGGTGCGTGCTCTGGAAATGATTTTTCAGGAGGTAGGTGCTGGTATTTGGTACATCCAGAAGGCCTGAGGGGTTTGTGTGTGAGAGAGGTGTCATTTTCCTTCATCTGTGGGACCAGGAAACGACAAAAAATGAAAAATTTGAGGGCAAAAAAAATGTAAATATCTTTTTTGGAATCGAAACATTCGGTTTGTTTTTTCATCTTTTATTCAAGTAAAAACTGCAGCTTTTGGTTCAGTTATTGTCCGGTTGGATGACAGAATTACAATACTTGTCTATAGGAGTTGGGGCTTTTAGTTCATCAGAAAGGGGCTGATGATTTTTGGGAGTGTGTGTGATTTTGGGTTTAATTTTTTTCAAAGAATCTTCATAAAATTTTCATGTTCATTACTTTTAAACTCTGCAAGTAGTAATACTCTTAATAGGATTTTTTGGGGAAAAAATGTGTTAAAGTTCTTGAAAAAGCCAACAGAAAATTGGCCAATCAGGATTGCTTTCTCTGTGGTATCTAGGTAAGTACAACCAAGTGACCTCTCCCATTGGTTAGGACTTCAGGAGCTGGACTGAAGGCCTTACATGTTAGATTAACTACCAACATAATTGGAAGTTTTACGGTTTTCTGAAAGCGTATGACATGCCTCAATGTGTTTTCTGCTTTTTTTATTTATGTATATTTACTTTATTTATTTAATGTATTAGCCTCAAATACAGCCAATTAACCAAGTTTGCTTCTATGGTTTTACACTGCAGCTACAAGGCTAATGTAGCTAAAAAGGAATGGAAGCTTATACCCCACCAATTAGCACTGTGCCAACTGCAGGCCTTAATCAACACACTCACGTCAAACTATGTTGAATTGTTCCAATGACAAAAATGTACAATAAAAATTTGTTCAAGACAAAATTGTCCTTATCAAAAAAAAAATATTATTTAAGATTTTCACTACTTTACCATCATCAACATTCCATATAAACGTTCAGAAGACACGTGTAGGTTCACTGGTGGTTTTAAATAATAAATAAAATATTTTTATTGGTGTTGTAGTCATGGCGACCTCTGGTTCCTATCACCACCACTGTAAAGAAATCTCTTAATTTCTCTACAATTAACCAATCACATCACTCTGAACGACTGAATTACACTGAAATTTTGAAAAACTGGTGGAGGTGCTTTCTCACGTGCACTCCAGCCGCCTGAGTTCGACGTAACAGACTGATCAGTGAGGTTTAAGTCCAGTCTGAAACACTTCTGCGGGAAACACCCCAGCTCTCCCTTTCTCTCTCGCTCTATCTCACTTTCTCCCTCTACGCTTCTCTCAGAGTCGTAACTGGATTACAGCTAAGCTAGACCTAAACCACAACACGCGCGCTCTCCCTCTCTCGCTCTCTTAAATCCACAAAGGGGAAAAAGAAGTGTGCTCCTGGGATTAGAATATGTTTTGACACACCATGTACCTCATCCTTTCTCCACTCTTTCGCCGCTTTTACACGGCCTTCTCTGGAGGAATATCTCTCTCACTCCCTGCGCTGCTCTCTCGCTCGGTCTAAAGAGTAGGATGTTTAGTTTATTCGCAGCATGTTTTTGAATTATGATGCTATCTTACAATTCCCAGGTGATTTTTTTTTCCCCCCCTCACTCTCCCTCGCTCACTCTCCCTCGCTCACACATGCGCTTTCCATCCGTGTCGGCAGGGGAGCCGCCTTCTGAAAGTGGCAATTAGAGAGCGCTGGGTGGGAGCGGGTGAGATTTAAAACAAAAAAAGTCACCTATGAGGAGGATTACTGACACACACACATACACAAAACAACACGCGCACACACACATTAGTGTGTTAATGGGGGAAGTGAGTGAGAGAGGTGGAGGAGTATTTACCTTTTTGTTGTTTTCTTTAATGTCTTGAGGATTCAGAGCCTTGTAGTCACTAGGAGGGAGAGAGAGAACAGCAGGAGAGAGAAAGAGAGAGAGAGATTGCTTTAAGTATGCGACTCATGTAATGGTGTTAGAACTGTACCATGTAATTTCACAGCTGTGCAATTGACAAAACTAATAGAGAGGAGGGACACGCAGCCTTACACTCATCTAACTAAAGCCTTCATTCCCCTCTCTCTCTCCCTCTCTTGCTCTGCTCTGTTTAAAAGGGCAGGGGGAGAGGCTGGACCCTCAGGACAGGCCACAAACTCTTAATTCCCAGGCTTTTTCATTCACTGTCATCATGGAGCTACTTTACCCAACAAACACAAATTAAAACACACACAAAAACAATCCACACATGCAAATTACATTCATTATTATATGTATGAGAGTAAAAAGCATCAGCTGTAAGCATGTAACCAACTGAAAATGATGAGTACATCCTGATTTTTTATCATGTCTAAATACATACTCACTCAAGTTAGGCTCCTCCTGCCAGTTCAGTACAGAACGACAGCGTTTTATATGGATTATTCTACCAAACTGAAAATCAGAGCTGACTTCACTTAACTGACTTCAGCCCAATCCCATTTCACCCCTCCCCTCTACCACTTAGCCCTACTGCTCTGTTTTGTGTGTTCACTCCTAGGGGTAGGGTGTCCTGATTCTTGTTGAGATAGAGGGGTAGGGTGAAGTGTTAAGGCTAGGTTAAGGCCCTCCAGATGGAGGTTTTTCAGAGACACACTCCAAACAGTATTATGAGAACTGGCAAGATGGCTGCACAAGCGATCAAAGAAACCCACAAATGTGAGAATTTTCTCCATTAAAAAGTTACAATAATCATTGTTTTATCTTAGTTTAATGTTGTTTCAATGTCTTTTCTTCATAACAAACATACAAACTGTTAATAGTAAGCTAATGTCTTGGTAGCTTGCTAAATTTCTCGTTCCACCTTAAATGGTGCAGCAGTTACATTCTGGTGCCTCAAGTGTCCAAACTGCTGCTCCATTTAAGGTGGAACGGGAAAATTCAAAGAAGAAGCTGGCGAATATCTGACTTCAGCTTCATAACGCTGAGGAATTAGGGGTGGATGATAATAAATAATTGCCCCCCCCCTCTTTGAAGGCATATGATGCCCTAAATGTAACTAAAGCCCAGCACTGAGGTTGCTGAACTTTACTCTCCACTGCTGTCACTGCAGACTGGCAGGGCTGCCGACAGCGCAGCGCTAGTAGCTGTTAATGAAGTTAATGAAGTTAATGAAGTAATGTTCTTTTTATTTGAGGGTCCCATTTCATAGGAAAAGATTTCAATCACTACCCCTTGTAACTCAGTTCCAAGGGGCAAGGGGGCACTTGAAAACAAGAGGTATGGGTAAAAATAAGAAATGGGATTGGGCCTTGGACTGTAGTGATCCTTCAGTGCTTTTAGTGACCCTACTCCCTGATTATGTTGATAGTGATTTTGTCACTAGCGAAACAATCATGACTCTCCCGAAATTGACCTAATGTTTCAGTAGTGACTGTTTCGGCAGTGACAATTTTAGCTAACTCAAAAATGCTAGCCAGTACATGACTAGCAAGAATCATAATATTTTTCACACACAAAGGTCTGCTGAAGATAATTGGGTAGAATGCTCCATATAGGGAGGATATGATCAGATTCTGAAAAACAGAGTGTCGATCCAGGCATATTTTATTCTAACAGTGTATCATCGCTGTCAAAACAAAGCCTAAAAATAACTTTACAGAAGTTTGAAGTGTCAACGCAACACTCTGTTTAGCAGAGTGGAACTATTTTAAAGTGACCACTTGCAGTTTGAGCTTAAAGAAGCATTAAAACACAGTTAGAGCCATTCGAGATATGAAAGTAGTGCATTAAAATTGCAATTTCACAATTTAACCACTGTTTTACCACTTGCAGAAACCTAAAGGCGGGGGTTTGTAGAAATATGCACATACTACAAACAAAACGTGCAGCATTTTTAAAGCGCGCAATGCACAGCTGTACTAACAAAAATACAAATATCACATCAGATTCCTTACTTCAGCATTGAAAATGAGCTTTATAATGACCTTGTGCTAGACGTGTTAGCCTATAGCATGTGTCAGAGACAGAGAGAGAAGGAGAGAGACTCTGAGGGAGGTGTGAGCGGTGGGCTAGTGTTGGGCTTGCTTGTGTAAATGTTGTAATTAAGGAGGATTTGAGTCGTGCTGATGAGAGCAGATTCATGAACACTCGCAAATTCGACAGAGGGATTAGATTCTCCATCTCAAACACACACCGCACTAGACCACACACCCTCGGCATGCCCCTCGCAGAGAGGGGCCGTATAGGTGTTTGTGTGATGGAGAAATGTAATCCCTCTGTGATACTGATGAGCGTTTGTGAATATGCCCACCAATGTCTAAGTGCGTATAATAACAGTAAAGTGTTGGGTCACGTATGTAATAAACAACAGAAGCTGCAATCACGTCCATAATCCGCTAATAAGGACCCCCCGTAAATAAAAGCAGCAAGTAAACAGGTACACGGCTCGTGAGTGAGAGAACGTCTGTCTGGGTCTATTTTTATTCATATTCAAGATAAATATGTCCTCAGTTTGTAGAAAAATGCTCATGACTTTATGAAGTGCTTTTATAAACTCCATGTTTTATTTGTTTAAAACCAATTTTCTTCTTTTTTCTACTTTTCTTTTTGGTTCCTAAGGTTAAGATTAAGGTTAGATCTAGGATTAGGTTTAGAAAATTGTTATTGCATATTGCTTCTGTCAGAAGAAAACCTTGCATCTCCATTTTTGTTGTTTTTTAGTTTTTGACACAATTTGAAAATGCCTGCTGGTCTCTACATTGTGTGTAAGTTTCATGATGAATGGACCAAAATAAACGGCCCAAAATGACTTGGAAAAAAGTCAGGTTCCATTGACTTACATTAAAAGTAAAACAGGTTTTTCCTTCTCCTGTAAAGTTACCATTTTGGAGATACAAGGTTTTGTTCCGACAGTAGCGATATAGTATTTACATATACTTACATACATGCAGTATAATGGACTCCACCTTATTGTCTCTCCTGATTAAATGATGGAACCAAATCTAATACTGAATGGCTGAGCTTCAATTCGAAACTTCATTTCAACCACATTTCTATGATTTATTCCCACAGAAACCTTTTGGAGTCATCGATCAATTTTTATTTTTTCATTGGAAAATTGTGATAGGAGAAAAAGAAAAAGCTTTCTTGTTCCTTTAAAATTTCTAGAAAATAAAAATTTCTAGACAAGGGGCTAAAATCTCTCTTTAGCATGGTGGTCTCCAACCCCGGTCCTGGAGAGCTACCTTCCTGTAGAACCTAGTTCCAACCACAATGTGCCACACCTGCTCCAGCTGATCAACCTCTTCCTAAGTCACTGATTGGCTGGATCAGATGTATTAGAGCTAAGTTAGGGGGTAGGGCATCTTACTGGATACAGGTTAGAACTAAGCTCTACAGGCCAGGGTTCTGGGATCGCTATAGCGATCATTAGCTAGAATCAGACAAGATTTTCAGCCATCTTGCTGGAGATGACTGTGTGTGGGCTTAGGCATCATCATCCTGTACATGACGAACAGAACACTGTTCTTTAGAGCGGCACCCCCCCCCCATTCTGCCCTTTAACACATATGGCACATGTACATATAAATGCACAATGTATTTCACACAGATACTTTTTACATCGTGTTTATTATATAATGAATGGACCAACAGAAATGGTCCAAAATTACTTGGGAAAAAAAAGATAAATACTTTACTGTAGGATTCTGTTCATAAGGCTATATGACCCATATATATATAAGCTTGTCATGACAACTGACATAACCCTACATAAATGTTTATAAATTACTGTTCTAATAGGCATAATTCGCTATAAAGGTTACGTTTGATCAAAGTTAGCTAAAGTATCTTCTATGACAGATGATGCCTATGGGAATAAGCATTTATAAACATTTATGTAGGTTTATGTTAGTTGTCATGACAAGCTTATATAGGTGTCATGCAGCCTTATGAACAGAACCCTATAGTAAAGTGTTGTATATAAAATAAGGTCTTTGAAGCTATTTTTTAGATGAAAATGTGTGTGTGTGTGTGTGTTTGTGTGTAAAGCTCACATGAGGTCCGGTCTGAAGTGGTGCAGCAGGGCGCAGAATGCCAGGCCGTTCCTCCAGGACGTAGTGAAGTTGGTGATTTTCACGCCCCGGTAGTTTTTGGTCACTTCCCTGCACCAGACCAGCAGAGACTGAGAGGCATTTGGCCGTCCACCCAGAATAGGACTGGGCATTGGACTGGGCTAGAGAGAGAGAGGGAGGGAGGGAGAGAGAGAGAGAGAGAGAGAGAGACAGAGAGAGAGACAGAGAGAGAGAGGGTTAGATGATTGCAGTATTAGATGCTATGTAAGCTAGCATTAATAAAGTTGAAGATCTCACTCTTCCTGAGTGCCGCTACTCTAAGCTGAAAAAACGTCCTATAAACCTTTCATGTTGTTTTTATTGTACTGGTTTTTTTTTGGCAAGGAATATTATTATTTATTTAGGTTTTATGGATTTAATACTTCTTTTTCAAAACTGTCAGAATGTAAACCACATACATTAAACTCATAGATACCATGAGTACATAGGACAAAATGGATGGACAGCAATAAGAACGAAAGATGCACATTATTTATCAAATAGACTGCTTTTATGAATGAAAATAAAAGGCGCGGTATGTCTTTCACAGTATATCGGTATAGATGATATACAGCTCAGCACTGGTCCCTCACTGCTCAGCACTGGCCTAAAACAGCAAAAATTCACAAAGTACAAAATAACTGTGGATTGTGTATTGTGTTGGGGGGGGGGACCCATTCTTCATGGATGCACTTTACAGGTTTTATTTCAATCATCATTTACTAATTTAGAATGTATCACTAGAACACAGACTCCAACATCCATTTGATACACATAATAATAAAAAAAAAATACATAAATGGGCCATTCTACAGAAACGTCCACTTTTTATCTATCCATAGGAGTCACTGATGTTACTGACCGTCATTGGTGTTACCAGAGACAGTAAAACCAGTGACATTTTTAATGAAAAATGCATTTTACAAAATGGCTGCTACAGAGCATCAATCATGGAACGTCCACTAGAATATGTAATTTAATCCATTTGTATTCCATTTTTTCACAATTACCTAAGAATAAAGTAGGTTATACCAGTGACTTCAATTAAAAGCTTCATATAAAATCATGAGCTAAATGAGAAAATTTCTGATAACTGAAAAGACACAGTGGACTCACCATGAGCTTTTCTTCATAGATCTTCAGAAAAGATGTCGAGTCATGTCAAAAGTGTGATTTTTATTTCAAAATAAGAGATTTTTTGTTACGCTCCACACCAGTGACAATTGGAATTCTATATGGTAATTCTAACTGGTTTATAAACCAATATTGCTATATCGATGGTTCATGAAGGTGTAATTGTTAAAATAACATTGTTTGTATTATAAAATATAACTAAATTATAACCCTTTTTAAAGTTTTTCAAGTGTAATATATCCATAAACGCCAGGGACACAAAAATGGATGTTTCCATAGAATGACTAAAATACATACACACATACATCACAACACTACACAATTTATTCTTCTATCACATTCACAGACTTTGTGACGTGAACTCCAGCAATACAAAAGTTTTTTGATCAAGTTAAAATCTGAAGTTCAAAACTGGTAATTTTTGTTTCTCAATTTTCTTACATATAAACACAAACACCTGTTCCAGCTCACAGGCACAAAAGCATAACTAAGTTGCAGCAATAAGGGAACATGTGCCAGACTCACTGTCTCTCATTTAGACAAATCCTTCTCAATCTCTCTCACTCACGCTGCTCAGTATCTTGACCATCGGATCTTATGTATCTCCTTCCAATTAGCTTTGTAAGCTTAGCTTTGTTAAAAGTGTCCTCTTCAAATTACACACACTCACACACACACACACACACAATGCAAGTTACATGCTCTGGTTAATGAGAGTATGGCTCTAAAGCTGGGTCTGACCATGCCTAATGTAAACATATTATTAATTAACGCTGTGTGTTTGAAGTCTTATCGGGCTGGTGGAGGGGACGGGAATCATGTGGAAAACGTGATTCATAAATCCAACAAAATCCGGAATCACAGAGACCGGCCGGCACTCTCTCTCACACACACACACACACACACACACACACACACACACCAGCCTAATCCCGTTAAACAGCCAAACACAGCATCACGGATCCGGACTGCTCACAATTCATATTCCACAACACACACACACACACACATTTGTTTTTATACCTCGTCAGGACCTGGGGTTATTCATTTGTAATATCTAAATAAGTAGACATTTATTTGTAATAATAACAGGCCCCATACTAATTACATGTCTGAGTACATCAATGTATTAATAATATTATGGCCCATACAGCTGCATGCAGAAGTTTGGGCACCTCTGGTGAAATTACGTTTTGTTAATTTGAAGTGTAGAAAAGTGAACACATCCTGTACAGGGAACACACTAAATAGGGTATTTCTCTGCAAAATGGACCATTTCTGTTTATTCCTGAGTTTAAAATATTGGAAAAAACAATTACATAAAATATAAAATGTGCCATAACTTTTTCACAAACAACAATTTTATATAATTACATGCTAATAAACAGTAATTGTGCATTAAAATATGCAGAAGCATAACTCTAAGTTATGAGACACACACACACACACACGGCACATATGGGACATAATACATATGCAACGAATACAGGTGCTTACACATTTACATTTAGCTTTAAAATTTATATTTAGATTTTTAAAGTTAAAAAAAGTTTAAAAAAATTAAACAAACTTTTTCTAAAAAAGTTTTTCTTCTGTTTATCCTACAAAAAAACAAGAAACCTGAAAATGCGCACACACACACACACACTCTCTCACACACACACACACACACACAGAGCGTGTCGATAATGAAAATGAAATATTCTGGAACTCGGAGACAAAACTCGTGAATGAGTTTCTCCATCTAAATATGAATCTAACACGGAAACGGAGACGAAGGAACATCCTGAAGGAACAGATTACTCTAACGGCCTTATCTGTGGCCATCTGCGGCTGCGTGTGTGTGTGTGTGTGTGTGGAGTGACACACTGCTTGGGCCCTTAATGTGGATGCTAAACATCAGGTGGCCGGCACTGTGAGCATGTAGAGCAGAATAAGAACGCCCCCCTTTGGCCAGGATGTGCTATAGCAGGCAGTAAAGCAGAAGGCCGGGACGCTCAGACACACTCAGAGTCAGAGAGCTGATCTAATATGAGCTCAATCTTAAAACAGCGCTGCACTGGACTGTTCACTCGGGACAACAAAGTAAAAACTGATCCCACATCAGCCCTGGAGGGACAAATTATCCCCAGTCATTATCTTTCATCGTGGCAGAGGTCAAAGGGCAGCATGTGTGGAAATGTGGACACCTCGTTCATTAATATCATTATTTTATTTTTTAAAAATGAATAGAATATAACATTATTTGTATAGCCCATTTTAATAACACAGAAGTGATATAAAAATCGCCCCACAAAGTCTTGTAAACAATCGGAAGATCAATGACAGAAACCCAAATGAACTGAAATAAACTGAACAAGAAAGTTCTGACCTGTTTTAACTGTGAGCAGAACCGTGTATGCAAACAACAAAAAGCTCCCATTCTAATCACACACTCTTAAAAGAGGGTTCTTCAAGACTTCTTTATTAAAAACAACGGTTCTATATAGAACCTTCAACCCTTTTTCTGCATGCTTAAAAGGTTCTTTGCATGGTAAAATGATTCTTCAGATTGAAGGAGAATGTGTTGTATATGGCTGTACATACACTTTTTTGAAAAGGGTTCTATATTGCACCAAAAAGGGTTCTGCTATTGTTACGATGTCAAGCTTGTATACATTACACCCTTGAAAAGGCTAGTTCTTTAGTCGAGAGAATGGTTCTATATAGAACCATGAACACTCAAGGAACCCTTTGCATGATTAAAGTGTTCTTTGCATCCTGAAATGGTTCCTCAGATTGAGGGAGAATGTGCTATGGATGGTTCTATTCAGAATTTTTTGAAAAGGGTTCTACATAACAGCAAAAGGGGTTCTGCTATTGTTACGATGTTACGCTTGTATACATTACACTCTTGAAAAGGACAGTTCTTTAGTAAAGAGAATGGTTCTATGTTCTATATATTTTTTAGAAAATGGTTCTATATAGCACCATAAAGGGCATCTATAGTTACCATGTCAAACTCGTAAAAATAACAGAACTCTTTTTGGTGCTATATGGAACCTTTTTCTGAAAGGCTCTATATAGAACAACCTATAGCACATTCTCTGTTAATCTGACGAACTCTTTAATCATGCAAAAGGTTCTTTGAGTGTTTATGGTTCTATATAGATCTATTTTTTATTAAATTGCCCTAAAGAACCACCTTTTTAAAAGTGTAGCAGAACCCTTTCTGGTGCTTTTCGGTGATGGTTTCAACGTTTTCCTGTAAAGTTTTTATGTTGGAGACGTGAAGTTTTGCTCCGAAAGTGACGATATGCTGAAATCTACAGTTAAGTGTGTGTGTGTGTGTGAGTGTGTGTGAGTGTGTGTGTGTGTGTGTGTGTGTGTGTGTGTGTTTGAGAGAGAGAGAGAGAGAGACTCAGTCTCTCTGAGCCCCTGAGGCCTGTCACTTGACTTTTTCCTTCTGCTCTTCAAAGAGAACCTTAACCTTTTAGACTACCACACACACATACACGCACACACACACACAAACACTCTAAGAGGAATGCTAGTGGGAAGATAACCCCCCAGCCCCCAACAAACAAAATCGTTACAATGCACCACAACGAGACGAGGACACGAGAGATTCATCACACTTGTAAACAACTGAATTCACTCCTAAAGTCTGAAAGATTAAAATACTTAAAATGATTAAACTGCAGTACTGAGTAAAAATCATACCATTCCTCCATTTATTTAAATTCCAGTAAAACAGCCTCAACAGCTAAATCTAATCTCAGCTGTTTGAGTGTTCAGTGAGTCACTCTTTATCTTTATTCCAGCTTCCATTCTTTTCAGGAGACTCACTTTCAGTTTCTCAAAGAATCTGCAGACACACCTCCAAAGTTCAGTCTTAGAAGTTGGTTGATCATTTTCTGAAGTAATCAAACACATTCAGTGGTGTTGAGGTCTGGACTCTGGGGTGGTCAGTCCATTGTTCAGCTTCTTTGTTTGATGTGTCTCCTTT